ATTAATTATTATATAATTAATTTTAGGTTATAATATAGGTAAAGTATCTTAAATAATAAATAATAGATTATAAATAAGTATTTAAATTATATAATAAATCTTAAAAGTTACTAGTAATTAACAGGGATATATCGCTTTAGGAAATCAAGCTGGGCCTGCAGATTGCTGTTATAGCCAACCCCTCCATGGTAAAGGTCAAAATGGCCACCTGGAACAGTATAGAGCTCTCCATTCGCCGCAGTCTCGGCCACCTTCTCTGCTGCTGGCTTTGGTGCAACTGAGTCAAAGGATGGAACAACAATCAAGTACGGCGCAATGATGGAACTTGCTTTAACCGCCGGCCTATGAAAGGGAAACCAAAGAACCGATCGTGCAACAATGCGATTTGAGTGTGGATCGACTTCTTTGCCTTCAAGATCTCTATGGAGCAATTGCCAGCCCTCGACCACATCGACTGCGTTCATAAGGGCTAGTCCGGTGTGTCCTGGAGTTGCTGCCGCTTGAATGTAGATGGGTTCGTTGAAGAAGAAGGACTTCATCCAGTCCCATAGCCCCAAAAGAAGCAACTGAATGGTGGTTTGGAATGGTCTCAGGCGAGCTGCAAGCAACGCATCGACACATGGACACTGAGCAATCCCGGCAGCGATTGTGTGATCTTCCGACAGAAGCCTGGTGACATGCATGCCACCAAAGCTCGTCCCCCAAGCCACGATGCGGGCTGAATCGAACCTGTCGTGTTTCTTAACCCAAGCGATCATGTTTTTGAAGTCGCGATATTCAGCCGAAACATTGACGAGGTGCCTGGGCTGGCCATCGCTTCCTCCAAATGTCATGTAATCGAAGGCCACCGCAGCGTATCCAGCCTTACAGAAAGCAGTCGCAAATGGAGGGAGGCCTGCAGCCTTTACAGCCCCGACTCCACACCCTAGAACGATGACAGGGTACGGTCCATTTCCTGAGGGCATATAAACCCAAGCTTCTAGCCTGCCATGCGGCGTAGGCACATAAACGGTTTGGTGGTACAAGTTGGCTCCCATCAATGCAGCGTGAGGACAGGATAAACAACTGTAGAACAATATCGCGGTCTAGGAATCAGAAATGGCGGGGGTATCTGAATTATATGACAGGGTGTAGAGCAGATATTTGGACTTCCGCTCGAATTAGCACTCCCATATTTTCCGGGCTCGGGTGTATCAGTGCAGGGGAAAATGTATGACGTTATAATTCGTGGCCCATGCAGGTAGGTAGCGAAAGTCCCATGGTCGGGAAATTCGGGAAATTCGGGAAATTCTCAGACTTGCCGCGGGTTCGGGAAATACCTGTCGGTTTCATGTGTCACAGCCTTAAGTGGTTCTTGCACGTAATAATGACAGATATAAGGCAAAAAGAATTGCGGTAACAGTGAACACTTGCTTAGGAATATAAGTTTCTACAGATATCTCGGATTCAATCCCACAACTGGACTAAAGCTACATTAATTTCATACTCGAATTTCTACCTCGGAGTCCATCGAGGAAGGACTAGAGGCTTCCTTCGTTCATTACAATGAGAATTTCTCAGTGGTTGGGATTTGGAACTGCAACGGTAAGTCGCGCAGTTGCCAAGCACACACGTGGTCTTGCGACATGAAAACAACCCAATGACTTCACGCGCTAAAAATACATGAGCACAGGGGGTGATTCTTCTAACAGCCATATACCCATACATCTATGCTCGCCTATGGACTCTATCGCTTCTAATGACCAACTCCCCAAGTCAGCTGATAGAATTCAAGGCATTTTCCAATTACGATATCAAATTTCGGGATAAGTTGAGAAATTGTGAAGATGCTGTCATCATGGAAGGGGATGGCATGGCAATTCTAAGCTGCGACCCTGGACGAGATCTTTGGAATACAGTCATGGGCATATTCACAAAGTCCCTGTTTGCAGTTCCATCTGGAGAATTGTATCTATATCGATATAATACTGCCGAACATCAGCCCAATACACTTTCCCGGATCAAACTGCTTGATTTTCCCGAAGAGTCGAAGTTCCATCCTCTGGGCATAGAGTACCACAAGGCCAGTTCGCAATTGTTTGTCTGCAACCATCACTTTGAGGGTCCTCGAGTGGAGATATTCACATTAGAAATAACCTCGCAACCGCCGACAGCCAGACATACCCGGACAGTCATCAGTCCGCTGGTCAGATCACCTAACGCCATTGTTGCTCTAAATGAGCATGAAATTTTCCTCACCAATGACCACTTTTTCCGGATCAAGGATAACCCCATACTCGCCAAGATTGAAACCTACGGTGGTGTCCCCTTGGGCAGTATCGTACACATAGATTTGCATAGTAATTCGTCGGCTACCCTGAGATCCGTTGCCAGGATTCCATACGCAAACGGAGTCGCCCTACTAAACGCTTCAATGCTGGCAGTAGCATCGACCAGCTCATGTCAGATCCGACTTTATCGAGTTCGCCCCAATAAAACACTCGAATTCACATCCAAGATTGATGTGCCGTTTATGCCCGATAATATAGCTACTGATCAGAGGGGTGCACTTTTAATCGGAGGTCACCCTCATCCACCCAGCCTGGAGGACCTGGTAAAAGGCCGTCAAGCCTGCTTGAAGCATCCTTCCATGCTCCGCGAATGTCATATTGGGAGTGCACCAAGTTGGGTCAGTGAGTGGACGGAAGAGAATGGGCTAAAAACCTTGTATACGACAGTGGGAGAGTTTGGTACCAGTTCTTCAGCGGTACGGGACACTGAGTTCGGTTTAGGATTAATTACAGGCCTCTATGAGAAGGGAATCCTAGTCTGGAAGGAGTAAACATTGGTAATTCAAGTCTGAACCAAAGTTCAGGACGCATTGTATCTAGTAGCGATGGTCAATCTGCTTGCTAGTTGCAATCTACCTGAGCTTATGCAACGTGCTTTAAGTAGGTTAATCCGCGCAGGTAATTCTACGTTCTAAGCCACTTGACATGTTACTCAGGGCCTACCTGGCCTAGGATTTCGCTGGTTATATGCGTTGAGCCTCCACGCAAATATAATTATTGCTTTATTTGGCTTCCCGTAACTAAATATCAATATTTGTCTTGATAAAGGTGAATGGTCCAGCATGATCTTGCATAAAACTACCTCCAAGGAAACAAAATAAAATAAATGCACGTGGGTGAATACGGTGTACATGCTACAAATTCTCATTGTGTAGAAGGAAGATTGTGTTAGACAGATTTTTGAGGGGTAGCGGGTGGACTCTTTTAGCTCAGCTAGCTGAATTGAATATGTTTAAGCTACAAATTCTCGTCTAACCAACGTGAGCCAAGCTCCAGCCACTCGCGTATGTGTCCCATTGCACAGTGGTCATCATCTGGGTATAAATAAAGCTCGGAGTTGGGGGCCCAAGCTGCAAGATCAATCGTGTCCTGAGTTGATATCAAAGTATCCTGTTTACCGTTGATCGCAAGTACGGGACAATGAATGCGCTCGATGTCGGCTCGTGAGGGAATAAGAGCATGGAGGCTGCTCTTGAGGTCTTGCAAGGACTTCGCTCCAAAGACGCTGAAGAGTGCTCGGACGACTATTTCAGGCATCCCGAATGATCCCGTTGGGCTTAGTGATCGAGTCAAGGGTGCCCCATTTATGACTACGGCCTTGAGCCGCTTGTCTGCTATAGCCATCCGAGTCGCGCAATTTCCCCCAAAACTGATACCGATCATGCCGAGACGCGATTCGTCGACGGATTTATGTGAAGCCACGAAGCTCAACACATCACGGTAAACTTGCTCAGATGAAGCGCTTCTCATTGGCTGTTTGTAAGCGTATGTTCCCGGCATCTCCATAAAGAACCAGGCGCTTGAAAGTACCGCTTGTGTACGCAATGCCGTCGCCATAGTTTCGACATTAGTTCCTTCGAGTCCATTCGTAACGATGACGCCGGGTACCAGAGTTCCAATACCTGCTGAACTGGTATCTGGTAATAATGCATACACCTTGACTTTTTCTCCATTCGTTTGTACAAAGTATCGCTCTACCGTCAAGTTGAGGGTTGGCGCGATTGCGTCTAGTAAAATATCGAAAAGTCTCTCACAAGCGTAATATGCGTTCATCCGCGCTTGAGTCTGGCCAGGCCAAGCTGCAACGAAGAAATATGCAACAGCCTTTAGTAAGGCGCTCACCGCCATGAAGCTGCTCTTTTCCTCATCTGAAGCGTCCTGAGGAAGCATATCCACGCTGATGGGGGTTCCGGGTGGTGTTTGTGTCATGGCCGCAGCGCCTTGGCTTAAGAAAGTCAATACAGCTGGAGAAGGTGGTGTGATTGGCGGCCTGCCGAAGATGGCTCGACTGGACTCAAGGTTGGCTTTTTCCAACTCGCTATCGAGAAGCTGAAGTTGCTCGCTGGCAAGTGCAATCCAATAATTCGTCCAACGAGCGTCCTTGAACGATTTACACTCATCCATTTGCCGCATGAAAGTTGCTTCATCGATCCCCCCGACGGTACTAAACCGCTTGGCGGAGAGTACGGGAAGGAAAGTGCGCACACCAGTCACTCGAGCAACGAACTCAGTGGTGCGAGTGGCAGCAAGTAGGGTCACAAGCGCTTCGAAAATCATTGTACAGTTCCTTGGCACAGTTTAAGAAGGCACAAAAAATGTTTCAGAAAATAACAAATAGCACAGGTGAATGCAGTAGGCAGCATGTAAGGACTCGAGTCCACAATGTTAGGAGCGTAGTGCATTCTTCAGCAAGGCAACGAGCTACAAATTATATCAGGGAAATAGAGAAAATGGCGGAAAATACACTAGATTAATTTTCCGAAAGCCCATATGCATAGACGGACAACCCATGCCTCCGTCGCACTCCGCGGCGTTCCGTCTCTGTGCACAAGGTCTTCCGCTTAAGTATTCCGGCTCCAGTCCCTGTCGAAACGCTTGTGGGGCTGGGGAGGGGTAATGAATGCTGATCGACCGACCGGCGACCGCGGAAGCCGATGAATACACTTCGATATGGCTTCAATTTTGCCTTGATCCTCCTACATGCTGCTATATCCCACCATTGGCAACATGCATACAGGTTCTGGCGCCGGACGACCCTCTACTGCTTGTAGACCGTGTAAGATTCAGAAGGTACTCCTTCATGGCCGACCGATATGACTTCCGGCTGGTGCAAAGTTGACAAATACGAAGGTTCGGTGTTCCGGAGATTTACCAAGCTGCAATCGATGTCTGCGGCTACGTCGCCTTTGTCTGTATCCAGATAACTCAGGGCCTCGCGGGAACTTGGGACTCGCAGAACCGCCACCACCTCAGCAGTCGACATCAAGCCAGATCGGTGTGGATTCTCCGTTAGAGAACAGACATTTAAATTCAGTCCCCGGCATCGATGAAAGCGCACGGGCGGACATACAATTTGGAGTACCTTCGCAATTAGTGTCCGACTTGATTGACACATTTTTTACACATGCTTACAACGCCGATCTCCTTCTACACAGAGAGACGTTCCTTCAGGACCAAGCAGACGGGAGAGTACGACCGCACGTGCTTTTGAGCGTGTGCGCTTTCGCTGCAATGTGCGTGCCCCTTCCGTTACCACCTATTGATGATAATGAATAAATTTGTATAGCTTCCATCGCGACTCCAATGGGCATAACTCGCTGAAACAACATGGCTTTGCTTCTGAGTGGGCCGAATGTGCAGCAAGGCTCGTTCTAAAAGAGGTCGAGAAGCCGAATGAGGATAATGTCATCAGTTTTCTTATCCTTGCCCTGTTCTGGTACAGCCAGGGTAACTGGAGAAGGTCTTATATTCATAAAGGTTTGCCTTCAATCCGCCTTGGAGCAGGGTATGTGGCGTTGTTAATCTTCTTCAGGCAACGCTATGCAAACAGCCCACATTCTCAGGCTCGATAATAGTAGGAGAGACGCCCATAGCCCATTAAGAAGTGAATTATCACGTCGCCGTTTTTGGGCCTGTTTTCTGATGAACTGCCACACCTCGGATTCGCTGTTCGCAATAGACCCTCCAAGGGTCATCATGAGCCTGCCTCTTCCTTGGAATGAATCAGACTTCGGTGCAGGGGCGTCAACACACCCGCCAATGCTCTTAAAATCTAAGTCGAATAACAGTGGCATATACTCTGAGTTAGTGAGGGCTATGTCATATTGGTATTTTGAATTAGCTTTGGATTTTGTCGGGTCCACGCTAAGCATCCCTACAGGTCTGCTGTACATAACCTTATAAAATCCCCTGACGCGGATTCAGAAATCCGCTTGAACGCAATATACCATCTGAACACCGAAATCACTAGATGGTGGATAGACTTGCCTGAGAATCTTCGACTGGACATATCGAATCTATCACAGACCCGTCGCAAGGACTTACCAAGACTTGTCCTTATTCACGCCGTCTACTATCAGTGCCTTTGCGTAATGCATTCCTCTCTTGTGCCCTTATACTCTTGGGGAAAAGAGGAACACGTCCCGTTGCTCGCAATGCAACTTTCCGCACAGATTGCTTACGATAACGCATGTGCGGTCTCCGAGCTCTTTCAGGCCATACTTGAACAATATTCGGAGTTCAATGAATTTACTAGTTTTGTGGGTTATGCCGCTTATTGCGGTTGTGCCATACAGATTCCCTTCATGGGGTGCTCAGATCTCACTGTGAAGGAGAGAGCCACCAAGAATGTTCGAGTAAACTTACAGATCATTCGCTCCATTGGCCTGAATTGGAAGTTCGTGTCGTTATTGGTAATGCTCAATTGACTCACACTCTTGAGATATATGCTAATTTTGTCTAAAGTATAGCTATGCCGAATATATTATGGAAATCCATACAAACCACCCTCTCCATCTCACCAGTGAGCCGAAATCGCTTCCACCGAACAAACTGAATGGGTTCCGAATAACAGCATCAAAAGCACGAGCCTCTATACTAGAGCACAATGCTGTGCTGTGGAAAGAAGATGGCGTGTCTGCTCAAGGGGATGAAGTAACGGACCTCGGATTCGGAAACGAGCCACTTGAAGCCCGAACTCAGTCCACGCCTGTGAATGACTTTCGTACTGCTGAAGGTACGTAACTGTCCGAAAATTCTATTTCTCTTCTAAGATTGCGACAGGTCCAGCCCTGGATGCAAATAGGACAACGCACAGCAATCTTGCCGGCATTTCTCGCTCAAACTGCCAGCCAATTTCTAGGTTAAGCGAGATTTCGCCACAGGAGTTCTTCCAACCGCTGTTGGACGCGTCAGATCTCTTCGAAGTACTGCCGGAGTACGACCGTTCGTTGGTTGGCCAATTTGATATAACCGAATGGTAACCAAATCTTGCATGTTGATTGGCTTTTGTCAATAATTGCCATCTTTACCTTATGACGGATAGTATCAATTTGAAATTTTGATTGGCTTTTGTCAATAATTGCCATCTTTACCTTATGACGGATAGTATCAATTTGAAATTTTAACGTGAGCCTAAATTGTTGGACCTTGCCTTTCAAGTTCTACCTAGACATTACTCCCATATTAACATCAAGTCAGTACCCGATATAAATAGCGCCTAGTCTGTTTAGCTTTATTGGCTTTTCGATTAAGGGAAGAACTTGCTCTGTATATATAACAAGCTAACAAGGTCTTCTAAAGCCATATGTAGCAATTTGCCAACCTATTCGCAGTCAGAAGTAGAGACTACGCATTTACACTTTAACAATCAAGAGGATAACGCAACTAATGGCGGCGTACCTTCTAGGATAATAAGTAGAGGCGTTGAGAGAGCAGAAGACTGTTGGTCTCAGAATGCCTTTGAATCCTCCTGTACTAGTTAACGTAGTGGGACAAAATGCACGTTTTAACTCCTTGGGTATACTATTGGCTCATTATAGAGGTTAATCCCTACGTGCGCGGCTTAATGTTGCTCTTACTAAGTTAGCTATCACAGCTGGAATATTGGAGCTGTAACAGTAGTAATGAAGGAGACTGAAAGATGGAGCGCCATTGTTTGTTTGGTACAAAACCCCTACAATGGTCAGCCTGCAGTGAGTTTGGGCTAGTACTTTGATCAGGCCTCAACCGACACCATGACATGGTTCATCACGATGACAGAACACCGAAGCCTGATGATACCTGCGGCCTATAAGGTGATGCACATGACGAAAGCGGTGAGGACAATGGTGTTACCAGATACTGACTAGTTGCAAACGAGACCCATTTGGCCGATAAGGATTTATGGGAGAGGGTATGTAGTGGCATAGTTGACTCCGGTGATACAGCTGCTATTGTTAGGTTATACGTAACGCGATTAATTTAGCAGATAAGTGCGGCCGTGGATGTAAGCTGCAGCCATGTTTGTAGACTAGATTCAGAGGATGATGTTTCGGGCCGATCCACAGCAGCTTGCCACTCCTCCGCTGAAGAATATTTATCGCCAAACTTGTTACGAAACGACAACGTTGAACTTTATGTTAGTCCTCACCGTTCTTGTCACTCAGCCTGCTGGCGAACTATTTGTTTGAGCCCAAAAGCAAGTAGGCCGCCGAAGGCATTGGCAAGGCAACGGAGTAGACCCAAAAAAAAAAAAAAAAAAACGACGTAGCACTTCTGGACTTGATAAAGTGTATACCTGCAATGGTAACTAGCCTTCCCCTTCAAAGGTATCAGTGCTTGATGTCAGGCGAATCCTTACCACATCGATATCGAGTATACATTTAGGGGAAAGCCTGCTTCAAGTGGAACCAAGACCAGCCTTGGTCCAACCAAAATGGTCCAGTGTTTGGCAGGCCACAACTCTCTGTTCGAATCAGCAGGTCATGCTACTACCTCATTGTTAGGACTCCAGACTCACATGATGACTCCTAACGTAAAATTGATTGTTGCGAGTAAATTTTCGTCGCCCAATCTTTCTATAAACAGCGGTCGCTGGAGAGTGGAAGAGAATGTAGCTGACGAAGGATATCAAGGAAACCAGAGACTATAACTGTCATTGGCGCCTAGTTTGACCAACTCTGGCATGTAAAGCACAGTACACGTAGCGGAAGCCCTGGCGAAATTTGAATCGGCAAGCATGCCAGCAATCGCCGTAGGCGACAAGTCTAGAATGTAGGGAAAGTACAAGATGTCAACGGGGTAAGATGAGACGATGATCAACCTGGTGCACTGCGGCCGCACTAGGGCGCCCAGCTCGGCATTCCATTTAAGGTAGTTTGTCTTAATGTCTGTTACCCGCAGACCGGCTACTTCTATAGACTGGCCACTTTAGCTAAAATATTAAAAACTAGATAGTATAATTAATTAATTAATTAATTAGCTTAATACTATTT